ATGAAAAAATTAACATATCAAATCATACAAATGAAAGTTGCAATGGTCAAAGAAGTAAAACAATAAAGTAGATAGGAGAGATTAAAGATAGAAAGAAAGAGAAGATTGGAGGAGTGGGGTTTGTAGGCAGTACACCTCATCCAGCAGATTAAATAGGAAAAATTGATTAAGCCATATACAGTTTCATATTTCTTGACAGATATATTTATTTTGTGTATTTTTATCTCTGATTTTAGGTCTGTTGTCATTTTAATTGTTTGTAATTGTTACTTGTTTTATAGGAAATAACTCAGATATTGTTTGTTCAGACTTTGCCAGATTATGTATGCTTAGCATCTGATCAAAAATAATAGTTGTCTTCCTTTTGCAAGCGAAACTATAATGTACTTCACACTAATGTTTGATGTTGCATTTGTCTAGCAGACAAAAATCAGTGCATTTCTGGTGTGTTTTTCTTACTGTGTAATTTCGCAGATCACTGATTTCTTATTATAGGTACAAAGGGAGAAACAATAGAATCAAGTCACAGTGTGACATGCAGTCTTATAAAAGAGGCCTGCCAAGAAAAAGTTGCTGTTGAGGCAACCGATTCTTCTGAAAAGGCAGAACCTTCAGAATCTGATGCGACACCAGTCAAGGAAATGTCTACGCCAGACCCTGATGACAAAGAGAATGTAGAGACAACCACTTCTCCTGAAGCAGCAGTAAATGCTGAAGAGACTAAAAAGAACTATTTCATTAAGTTATCAAGTGGCTCGTCAAGAGATTCTGGATTTGGCGTATTTGGGAAATTTAGTCCCTCATCCCTACGGATCCTAGATCAGGGGAACCAAAAGCAGACAGCAGCAGAGAACTATTTCTTGCAGTTTGCACCAAACACAAGTAACGAAAGGTTTGTAAATGCGTTTGCTGAACTCTGGAGGTTATATTAAACAATGTCCCTAAAATTTTTGAGTACAGTTGAACTTGCTTAAGTCGAATCCAAAATGCCATTGAAATATTGTTTGACTTAGATAAAATTTGACTTATAGATTGTTAATTAATGGAAAACACAACAATTTGGCATGTAAAATAAGATCGACTTAGAAATTATTCGACTTAGAAATTATTTGACTTAGGCACAGTCGACTTAGGCAAGTTTAACTGTATACTGCGCTATGCTGTGATAGTGGAATCGTATCGTATCCTAGGCACAATGCAATAGGCATAAAAAGGATAGAATGAAAATGCACAGATGAAAATATATTTCCATGATGAGTGACGAAATGGAGTAAATATAAACCAATGTCACATGAAACGAATTCCACCAATTAAATGACAGGGATCTATTTAAGTGTGTTATAAAATGTGTTAAGTGGAATATTTCTGTGAAATGGAATGTGTTGAGTTTCATTTCATTTGGCAGGCATGCCAAGTACAGTGTGAATGTAGTTTCATCAGGTTGGTAATTGGTCCTAAGTTTTGACAGATGACCAATGACTGATAGCACTTTGTCCGATAATTGATTATATTTACTCCACGCCCCAAGTCCTCTTAAATTGACTTAATGCATCAGATTTTTTAAATCAGGCCCCTAAATGTTTGTTGACCCTGACTTAGCTGGAAGGGTCACCAGGTATAAAAATTTAAAAAAGGAAAAGTATAATCATGATCTTCATCAACATAATTTTCATTAGTATTATAGTAGTATTTAAATAAATAATATTATATTGTAATGATTATTTTTTATTTGCTTTGATATTATTCGGCTTTAGAAACAAGCATATACAATAGGTAAAACATGATTATAATTTACATCACAGGTTAGCAAAGTGCAGCCGGACAGTGACTTTCTTGCAACCCGTGAAAACAAATCAAGAAAAACCCTTTGTGTGCAGCCCAACACCGATTATCTATAAAAAGTAATATTGAAACTGAGAAGAATTTGGTATAAAAGCAGTGCATGGAAGTTTTTTAAAGCTGAATGGAACCATCAAAATTTGGGTGCAGCCCTCTGTATTAATAAAAAAAAAATTCACTTTTTGTGCCCACCCCTGATTTACATAAAATAATAATTAATTAATTTGCTCCAGTCTACATTACCATTATGTGGCACAGTAGTGAAGCCGTAGACTTCCAGGTAAATGATCAGGGGTCGATTCAAAACCTAATCACTTGTTTAATGGTGTTTTTTGACGAGGAAATTGATTCATGTTGTCTCTTTCTACCTAGTAGTTGAATAATTGACAGATTACAAATTTAGAGACTTAAGCCAGGTAGTCACTGGGTCGTGCGATGGTCATACAACCGTCTCACGACGAATCCAACTCTGCTCCGTGTGAACGCTGGACGACACGACACCGTCTACTGATTGTCGGTGGCAGTCTGAACGAATCGTCATTAAAAACAATACGTTGCGCATGCGTAGTCGCGCTGTGTTCTTCATATAATCACGACGACCGGTGGGCACGGTAAGAGCCCGGCTTTAGAGAGAGGAGAATTCATCGTATCTTCACATTATCCTGTTTTATTCTTTGTTTTTCTGTTATTAGCACGGAAGAGAATACCGAAAACCCCAAGAGCGTCAGCGGTTCAGGGTCAAGCTTTGTTTTTGGTCAAAACTTGACTGACAGAGTAACTGTAAGTTGAGAAAAAAAATTCTGAACATATTAGCGGGTACTGTAGACAGGGCTGTATCCAAGATTGTCATTTCGGGAGGGGTGCGTAAAGATGGAGCTAATGGGATACCTAGAAGCCACAGCAAAGTGAAGAAGACTGAGCCAGCTTCAATAATTTAATGACTACTGGCAAATTTAGCACCCAAATAGTGTCCTAGCATCAAATTGTTATTTAAAATGTAAAGATTTTACATTTTATTACAATTTTAAAATTACTATTATATGTAATATAAATATGTTATATATATATATATATATATAT